TTACAATAAGATATCACATGATTATATTCCGATGAAAGAAAAACATATGTTTCAGATAATACTAACTCAATGTTTCATACTTGACAGTAATATGTTTCAACATATGTTTTCACTAATTAAATTTGAAAATATATATTTGATTTATTTTTTCTCTAAAATGTTTGGGATGTATTTCTTTTGGCAAAAATATATTATCGGTCTCGCATAAACATTGCGTGAAAATAAAGACGCGTGCGGTCTCGCGCGGCCTCGCTCGACGAAATAGCGTGCTACCAGCTAGCAAGACCGAACGGCTGGGCCGGTTCAAAATGTTTAATGATCCTGATTAGTGATTAGGATAATTTATCACTAACTATTATTAATTAATCGTTAATTGAGTAATTTGTCACTAATTAAGCGGCAGCTATAGATGGCCAAATGGACCGCTCGGCACGTGCCGGGCCTGGGCCGAGGTCAGTCGGGCCGGCACGGCTCGACCTATACGTCGAGCCATACCGTGCCAGCCCACAGGCTGCACCTACGGCCCAGACACGGCCAAGACTCGGGTCATGTCGGATCGGCCCGAAGGCACGACGGCCTATCGTGCTTATCTATAGAATAAGTCTATTTTTCCTCCCTAAACTCTGTGGATGTGTCTACATGGCTGGAAAATAAGTCTATTTTGTATTGCTCTCGTCTCTGTGCCTTGCCTTATATGGTTAATTAAGTCTATTTAGCGTCCCTCAACTGTTTTTTCGATCGTGTTGGGCCGGGCCGACCCACTGCGCCGAGGGAGCAACCCAAGCACGACTAGGCTGTCGGGCCGATCCTACAGGGCCGGGCCGGCACGAGCACAACCCCAGTAGGGCCGTGCCGTGCTTGGGCCGGGCCGCGGGCCATATGGCCATCTATAGTGGTAGCTCATCAGGCAAGCCGTTCGCTCTCGCTCATTCCTTGTTTTTTGCGCGAGACCGCCCGCGTCGTCACGCCGACGTCATTCTCGCGCAACGGTTGTGCGAGACAACGGTATATTTCTGCCAACAAATTTACATCCCGAATATTTATGAAAAAACAATTCAACGGTATATTTTCAAATTTATTTCGTGTTTCACTATATTTCACAAATTTTTTATATGTTTAAGCGGCTTGACTTTTTTTTGTTTCACCATACACTCCCTTCATTTTTTTTACTATACTAGCAAAAGTGCCCGTGCGTTGCACCGGGTGATTACGGAGTGTGTATATTGACCAAAAGTGTTGTTTGGTCTAGCAAAAGTGCCTGTGTGTTACAATGTGAAGCGTACAGATTAGAAAAATATGCAATTAATTAAAATACAAATTCGCTGAAATATTTGGTATTTTTAAGTAGGTATGTGTATAATTAAATAAATTTACAAGTAAAGCAAGTGTGAGAAATAAAATGACATGGTTAAATTTAATTTTTTTTAAATTCTCCATGATTAGTTACGCTCTTTGAAATTATATTTGAATTTTTCAGAGCTTAATTGTTAATTTTATTAATACAAACGTCATTTAACAATTATTTACTTGGAAAAAGAAAGAAAATACTTCCTTTTAGGTTTGCTTCGAAATAAACACATTCAATAGCTTATAATTGTAATGCTTCTGAAAAAATGAGCACTAAAAATGAACTTATTCTTTTTTTTGGGCCTGAGGGACCTAAAATAGACTTATTTCCGGCCCTTGCCGGTCGGTCCACGGCCTTTTGTGCACGCGCAAGTGCACTTCCCCTCCCCAGGCCACAACCTGGGCTTGGGCCAGAAAAGTGGCCTCACTCTCGATCCCTCTTGGGCTGATTTCGGCCTGGACGACACCGATCGTCCGATCTTTAGGGTTTTGATCGGACGGCCGAGCGTCGATATCGGGGAAACAAAACCCCTCCTTCTCCTCAGCCGCCGAAACCCTAGCCCATTTCCCTCCCTCCCATCTCACATCGCCGCCCTCCCCTCCGCGCCCCCGAGCGGCGGCAACGGCGCCCCTCTTCCCGCGAGCGGCGGCGGCGGCGCCCTCCCCCACAAGGCCACAACCAACGGCGCGGTGCCCTCTCCCCGAACAACGGCGGCGTGGAGGCGGCTGCGGCCCGGCGGGAGCGGGAGGGGCGGCGGGCCGGACCTCGCCTCCGCCAGATCTGGCGGCATGGAAGCGGCTGTGGTCCGGCGAGGGCAGGAGAGGCGGCGGCGTCGTCTCTTTCTCTCTCTCTCTGTGCATGGTGGGGAGGTGCGGCAGTGGTGGTGGTGGCGGACGTCATGGAACGCCGGTCGGGCCTCGCCTCCGCCAGATCCGGCGGTGTGGAGGCAGCTGCAGCCCGGCGGGGGTGGGAGGGGCGGCGGGCCGGACCTCGCCTCCGCCAGATTCGGCGGCATGGAGGCGGCTGCGGTCCGACGGGGGCGGGAGAGGTGGCGGCGTCGTCTCTTTCTCTCTCTCTCTGTGAATGGTGTCGGTTCTCCTGGTGATGCTAACCGAATAGGACTTGGTATAACAGATGGGAGTTTGTTTCCTATTTTTGTGGAATCGGACATATTCTTTTTTTTTCCCGATTTTTCTTTTACCGCGTTGATGAATCGGATTCGTTCCGGTTTTTTTTCTCCCGGTTTTTTTGACGGACGATGGAAGCACCTCTTATTTTTTAAGTAGTAGTAGAAGTAGATATGACGCCATTGACTATTTAAGATATGCTTGATCATTCGTCTTATTAAAAAAAAATATGTAATTATCATTTATTTTATTGTGACTTGATTTATCGTCAAATGTTCGTTAAGTATGACTTAATTTTTTTATATTTGCATAAAAATTGAAAAAGACGAATAGTCAAACGCATGTTAAAAGGTTAATGATGTCATGTATAAAAAAATAGAAAAATGAAATATCTAGATCGTTAGATTTGTAGCTTCTCCCGACTTGTTCATTTTTAAGGCCAGCCTAGCCCGACCCCAACACACCGAAACAATTACTACTCACATAGAGGCATAGGGGTGTTCGCAGGAACAAGTTCCCAACCTAAACAATGAACACGAAAAATAGAGCGATCCATTAACACATGATTAATTAAGTACTCGTATTTACTATTTTTTTAAAAAAATAGATTAATATTTTTTTAAACAACTTTCGTATAGAAACTTTTTTAAAGCAGTTTAAAAAACGTGGGCCAATAAAAGAAACGAGAGTAGGGATCGGGGGCCGCGGCGTTGCGGTTCCCCTTTGTCCTCACCGGTACCGACCGCTACTCCACATCCGATTCAAATCCACACAAGAGTCTGAGAGGCCCATCCAATTGAAAATCCTATTCGATTCAATCTGCTCTACTATACATTATACATGTCCGCGCCATAAATCCTCCAGGAGTTAGCTAGGTCCGTCCATGGACGTCAATATGGTCCTCTTCGACGACGACGACGATTACTGGGACAAGGAGGAAGAGGAGGATGACGAGAGGGTGGAGGTGCCGAAGAGCGGCGGCGTGTACGGCTACGACGTCCCTTTTCCGAATATGGATTTCCTGGATGACCCGGAGGAGAACGACCTCTACCTCTTCAAGGTCTCGCTGTGTCCGCCGTCCCACCCTCCGCCACCGGCCGATCCCGGCTGCTGCAGCTGGGTGCTCCTCGACCGCACGGCCTACGTCGCCGACCACGCCAATGCCACCACCGCCAACACCTTCTTCACCACCCGCGACCGCCGCCGCCGCGAGATCCGCGTCACCTTCTTCCCCGCCCCGCCGCCGCGCGTCTCCCACTTCTGCGTCCACTGCCCCTCCATGAAGCCCGAGTGCTTCGCCGTCGAGCCCCTCATCATCGCCACGCACGAGTAACTCGTCCTCCTCCGCGTCGCCATCGGTCGCCGGCACGCAAGCTACTTCCATGAATTGCATGACTTCTTCGTCTACCGAGCCGATTCATCCACCACCAACAACAATGGCGGTCGTCATCCCTCCCTCGACCTGCTACCGCATCCTGGCGACTGCTATTCTTTTGACTGTCAGGTTGGCATCACCCACTGCGACGGCGGCGGCCATGAGCACTACATCATCGCCGCACTCATGTTCGACAGCAGCCGTAAGATGTACGATCTCCACCGTTTCCACTCCAAGAACGGTAGCTGGAGCACAAAGGCGCTCCATCTCGGGACAATGGAGCCATCTCCAGGATTGACCTTCTTCTTCCATGACACATACAAGGTCATCACGCTCGGTGGCGGCTTCATGGCCTGGGTCGACCTGCGGCGGGGAATCCTGCTCTGCGACGTGCTCCTCGACGACCCTGAGCCCCACTTCATCCCCTTGCCGCCGCCGCTCAAGGCTGACAAGGAGCTCATCGGCGATGCCCGAGAATTTCGGGACATTGCCGTTGTCCACGGTTACATCAAGTACGTTGAGATCCAAAGCTACATTTCAGATGGTTGGGTTGCTGCAACATGGAGCAGGAAGATTACACTGGAGGATTCTTGGGAGGGAGATTGGCGCAAGGACTGTGAGCTCCATGTTTCTGATATCTCCGGATCACTGCCTGAGCTGCTTGGTGATGAGGAGGCTAGAACAGCTCAACTGAACTTGCAGAGTCTCCACACAGGCAATCCTACAATCAGCTTGCAGGATGATGATGTTGTGTACTTCCTGGCCAAGGTTGGCCTCAGAGATGACAAATCGTACGTGCTTGCTGTTAATATGAGGAGCAAAACACTGCAAGGAGCGGCCTGTTTTGGTGCTGAAAGAGTGTTGGACATGAATTTCACATGTACACAAAGTAGGATCTCCCATTATCTCAGAAACACTCCAGGTAATTCTATTGTATAGCGCATTCTTATACGTTTAGCTTGTAGAAATCATTTACTTCCCAGTTTAGAAAAAAAAGGAATACATGGGACGAGATCAGATGCCATCTTGCATAATTTTGGAAAAAGAACTACTGTTATCTGCTACTCCACCCTATGAATATTTGTATGTTTGCTTGTACATGTGGCATATCTTTTTAGGAAAAAGTTAAACTACAAATGAGAAAGCTACCTGAATTTTATATGCTCTTACTTCACAGTATCAGTTGAATACAGAGGGTAATTTGACATGTACTTGGAAGAAACCAGTAGGAAGATACATATTCATAAGAAGAACAATAAAACAGTGCACATTTAGCTATGAAAATCATGCATATCATATGCCTTGTACATTGTGACAACTCTTTCTATTGATCCAAAACCACTCCAGAAAAAAAAATCCATTATCTGGGAAACCTTGATGACAACAAATACTCTTCTTCAAGGCTATATTGTCTAGTTGATTGTGTACTTGTACCCTCACTTACCGGGTAGCTCCAGGAGACATGATTCTCCCTGGATTTCTTTGCACCCACACCATGCTCTTGCTGCTGTGATGACAATCGAACACTTTCGAGTGTCATCTCCACCTACCTCATAGTAGGCCGCTCCTCTACTTTCAGCTTGGCACATGCCACAGCTAACACAGCTATCTCTTTAACTTCTTCGCCTCCCTCTTCCTTGACCTGAGGATCAAGTATGTCGCCCAAGTTGCCTTGTGTGAGTAGGGCAGTGAAATGTGTTACAAGACTTTCATCATCAGGCGATCTGTATGAGTATGGTTTCTTCCTAGTAAGCAACTCTATTAGAACGACGCCGAAGCTGAAAACATCGCTTTTCTCAGTGAGACGCCCTGTGTAGTAGTACATGGGGTCCAGATATCCTAGTGTTCCTTGAACAACGGTTGTTATCCCAGTTTGTTCAGCTGGAATGCACCTTGAAGCTCCAAAATTGGACACTTTTGTTGTTAGTGAACCATCTAATAGGATGTTATGGGATTTGATATCCCTGTGGATTATAGGGAACGACACAGCTGAGTGAAGGTAGGCAAGTGCTCTAGCGGTTTCGGTTGCAATTCTGAGCCTATCTTCCCATGGCAATGACATTGGTCCTTCAACATGAAGATGGTGGTAAAGGGTACCATTTGATATGAATTCATAAACCAGCAATGGCACTTCTGTCTCAAGACAACATCCAAAAAGTTTGACCACATTACGATGGTTGATTTGCGAGAGAATGGCTACCTCATTTATGAACTCGTCAATCTCTCTTTGAACTGCCTCCTTAGATTTCTTGATCGCGACAACATGAAGATCCGATAAAATCCCTTTGTACACGGTGCCGTGCCCCCCTCCTCCAAGCTCACGTGATTTATCAAAATTGTTTGTGGCCTTCTCCAGTTCTGACAAGGGGATGATCATCCTTTCAGCAATGTCAGCCTTCTGAGACACTAGTTGTTGCAACAAATGACCTCGGTTCTGCTTGAAGAACTTCTGCCTCAGCATTCTTGCTCTCTGTTTCTTAACCTTACGTTTTAAAAAGGCAGCGCCCAGTCCCATTACCAAAAGCCCAGCTCCACTGCCAACTCCAATACCAACACTTAAACCTGGTAGCACACAAGAGAAGGCAAAAATCTCCATCAGAGTTGGTAGATATTTCACCTATGAACTAGAATATGGGAGTTGGTTAATAAGAAAAACAACGTTATGGAAAGATTAGTCTATGAAAAAACAGAGTAGTATGCTTGTGTTTATGAAACAGAGCAGTTGGTGCTAGTACTTGACTGAACTGTTAAAGAAAGACTGATGTACTAAACAGAGTTTCATTGCAGAGCTAGCACTATCAAGTAAAATAATTTATCAGCCATTTGGTTAATAAGAAAAGCAAGATCAGTCTATGAAAACAGAGTAGTCGATGCAAGTACTTGGAAGAACAGTTAAAGAAAGACTGCTGTATAAAACAGAACTACATTGCAGAGCTCTCTGCATAAATTTGACTGACAATGTAAAGCAGGATATTTCAGTTATTAGTACCTAGATTAGTTTTCCATTCTTTGAAAAATCTGTGCATAAATTGGACTATGTCAAAGCAGAAAAATGTAGGTGTAGTTACCTAGATTAGTTTTGACGCAGCCGTTTGGAATGCGCGGGTCGCCACGAGCGCCGCGCGGGCACCGGCACTGGTAATCTCCCGGCGTGTTGGTGCACTCGCCGTAGCACCTCCCGGCGAGCTTGCACTCGTCGATGTCTTGGCATCCGCCGGCGACGTAGGGGTTCCCGCCGTAGCCTCGCCGGCACCTGCACACGTAGCCGCGGCGGTAGTTGCCGGTGACGTTGCTGCAGAAGCTGTTGCTGCTCCGGCATGCGCTCCTCGCCGCGTCCGCGGGGCACGACCAGTTGCGGTCGTCGGCGAACTGCCCGGTGACGCCCTGCAGCACCGCCTCCAGCGTCGGCGACACCACCCACTCCAGCACCACCGGGACCGGCGTCCGGAGGGCGGCGGCGGAGTCGGAGCTGGTGTTGAGCAGCTCGCCGGCGACGCCCTCGAACCACCCACGCTCGGCGATGCGCACGGCGACGGGGAGCTTGCCGGTGAGCTCCTGGTTCTGGTCAAGGCTGAGGAACTGCACGAGGTAGGAGGGGCGGCCGATGGCGATGGGCGTCTCGCAGCAGCTGGTGCCGGAGCAGATGAAGCCGCCATCGGTGGCGTTGTCGGCGCCGGCGCCGGGGACGACGGGGACGGTCGCCGCCACGCTGGTGAACATCTCGCTGACCGGGCAGAAGGAGGAGCAGCCGCCGATGATGTTGGTGTTCTCCCCGGCGAGCGTGGCCTGGACGTTGCAGCCCGTGACGACGAGCCGGTTGCGCTGCTCGGAGACGACGTACGGGCCGGCGCCGGCGACGGTGCCGAGGCTGGACCACGTGCCGCTGCCGCTGGGGGCGAGCTTCGACACGTCGTAGGTGAAGTTGACGGCGCCGGCGAGGTCGAGGGCGCGCACGGTGGAGTTGGCCAGGGAGATGTCGACGACCTGGAGGGTGCCGTTGCCGAGCATCAGGCGCGGCGGGGTGTGGGTGGCGTCGCAGGTGAGGCGGAAGCCCGGGAGGTGGCAGCCGTCGCGGATGCCGAACGGGTACGGCACGCTCACGTCGCCGCACCTGTCCGGGCAGCTCGCCGGCGGCGGCGCTGCGACCTGCGCTTCCACCGACCACAGCTGCAGAAGCAGCAGCAGCAGCAGCGCCATCGCCATCGCCATCGCCATAGCCGGTGGTTGAATGATGGTCATCATCGCTGGAACATAGTCTGTGTTTATATTCCTAATATATGGCCAGACAGAGCGTCGATATAAGTAGTACACATACACTGAGGTATGGGCAATTTGGCGTGCCTATGGCAAAAAAATTTACCCATATACTGTATATTACATTAGATATGGACACATATTTATATAGTCTAATAATAAAATAAATTATATATTCCACCAAAAACTGTGAGACAAATTTATTAAGTATAATTAATCCGTTATTAGTAAATATTTACTGTAGCATCATATTGTTAAATCATGGCACAATTAAACTTAAAAGATTCGTCTGACGAACTGTATAATTGTTTTTTTCTATATTTAATACTTCACGCATGTGTCAAATATTGGATGTGACAGTGCCAAAAAAAATTGGTTTGGAACTAAGGGCATGTTCACTTTGATGTCATTTTCAATCTTACCAAATTTTGGTAATGTTGCTAAAAAAAGTGGCTACATTTAGTTTGCTGCTAAATTTTAGTGACTATATAAGAAATCCTAACAAAATTGTGACAAGTTGCCAAAATTTTAGTAACTATAACAAAATTAAGTAATACCAAAATTTAGTAAGGCAAAATTTAGTCCAAACTGGCGGCACTGACGACGTGGGGCGCTTTGCTTGACAAATCCAAAGCCGCACATGCATATGCTGCGTTGTTGTATCCGCGTTGACCGATCGATCAGGTAGGTGTGGATTGGACTGGATGGTTGACCGTTTCTACAGATCATCGCTGGCGGCATTGTGTCCCCGGAAATCTGTTTCTGCAGATGACAGCGCCGCCGCACAAGTTGCCGCTGGGCGCTGGAACCATCATCGCTGAACTGTCGACAACTTTTCGTGTACAAGCTTTTTAAACTACTAAATAAAGTAAATTACACAAAACTTGTTTTAAACAATCATATTAAAAATGAACTAATATTTAATTAAAAATATGCTAATGAGTCGTTTCGTTTTGCGTACGCAAAAGATTAGTTGCGAACATCAACGAACGAAGCAGCTGTCGTTTGGTAGCCCGAAACCATAGTTAGTACAATACAAAAGGTATCTTGATATTTACTTGGATGAAATCAAACAGAAAAATACACATTCAGATGAAGAACAATAAAATAAGATATTACTACATTTAGCTATGAAATACTACGTGCGTATCATACATGGAGAGAAAAAAAAACTAGGGAGACCTTGTACATCGAGGACAACATAAGCTTTCTATATCGATCCAAACTCACACAAGAAAAATTAAAAAATCGCTATCGAGGATACCTTGATGATAACAAGTTCTCTTCTTCGAGACTATATTGCCTAGTTGAATCTAAGCTTGTACCCTCACTTATTGCATGGCTCCATGAGACATGAAGCTCCTTAGATTTCTTTGTGCTAACACTATGCAATACTTCTTGCTGCAGTGATGATGATCGAATGCTCTCGAGTGTCATTTCCACCTGTCTCATAGTCGGTCGCTCTTCTGCTTTTAACTTGACACATGCCACAGCTAATACGGCTACTTCATTAACTTCCTTTTTCCCCTCCTCCATAACCTGCGCATCAAATATGTCACCCAAGTTGCCATGTGCATGTAGGGTAGTGAAATGTGCAACAAGGCTCTCATCCTCAGCCGATCTATATGAGTGTGGTTTTTTCCTAGTAAGCAACTCCATTAAAACAACTCCAAAGCTATAAATATCACTCTTCTCCGTGAGACGTCCTGTGTAGTAGTACATGGGATCTAGGTATCCTAGTGTTCCTTGAATAGCAGTTGTAACCCCATTTTGTTCAGCTGGGATACACCTTGAAGCTCCAAAGTCTGAGACTTTTGTCGTTAGTGAGCCATCCAATAGGATATTATGGGACTTGATATCCCTGTGGATTATAGGGAATGACACAGCAGAGTGAAGGTAAGCAAGGGATCTAGCTGTTTCAGTAGCAATTCTGAGCCTATCTTCCCATGGCAATGATGTTGGTCCTTCAACATGAAGATGGTGATAAAGCGTACCATTTGATATGAATTCATAAACCAACAATGGCACTTCGGTCTCAAGACAACATCCAAAAAGTTTCACCACATTGCGGTGGTTGATTTGTGATAGAATGGCTACCTCGTTTATGAACTCATCAATCTCCCTTTGGACTGTCACATTTGATTTCTTGATTGCGACGACATGAAGGTCTGAGAGAATACCTTTGTATACGGTGCCATGTCCTCCTCCTCCAAGCTCACGCGAATTGTCAAAGTTATTTGTGGCCTTTTCTAGTTCTGCCAAGGGGATGATCATCCTTTCAGCAATGTCGGCCTTTTGAGATACCAATTGTTGCAACAAATGGCCACGGTTCTGTTTGAAGAACTTCTGTCTTAGTGTTCTTGCTCTCCGTTGTTTAATCTTACGTGTTAAAAAGACAGCACCAAGTGCCAGGATAAAAAGGCCGGCACCACTACCAATTCCAACTCCAATAGTTAAACCTAAGAGCACAATAGGAAAAGGAAGTTCTCTCATCAGAGTTAATGTCATTTAACCTGTAGATTAGAATAACAGAGTTTGCATCTTTGTTTGGAAGAGAGAACAGTCACTAGTCACTTCTATAGCTAAAGCTAGGTATACACTCCCTCCGTTCTTAAATATTTAACGCCTTTGATTTTTTTTAAATATGTTTAACCGTTTGTCTTATTAAAAAAAATTAAGTAATTATTAATTATTTTCCTATCATTTGATTCATTGTCAAATATACTTTTATATATATATATATATATATATATATATATATAGTTTTACATATTTCACAAAAGCTTTTGAATAAGACTTACGGTCAAATATGTGCTAAAAAGTCAACGGCATTAAATATTTAGGGACGGAGGGAGTAGTATATTGTAAGACGGAGGAGGTAGCTATATATACAATAATCTCTGAATAAATTCAAAAATGATGAGCAGATTACTTTAGTTACCTAGATTGGATTTGGTGCAGCCATTTGGAATGCTGTAGTTACCACGGGCACCGTGCGGGCATCTGCACAAGAAGGCTCCCGGCGTGTTGGTGCACTCGCCGAAGCAGCCGTGCTCCTTTGGCCGCTCGCATTCGTTGATGTCCTGGCATCCGCCGGCGACGTACGGGTTCCCGTCGTACCCGTCGTCACAACGGCAGACGTAACCGCTTCGGTAGTTGTCGGTGACGTTGTGGCAGTAGCTGTTGTTGCTTATGCACGCGCTCCTTCTTGCCTCGCCGGGCGTGGGGCAGGACCAGTTATTGGCAGCCTGGTTGTTCAGCCCGGCGTCGAGCGTGACATCCAGGCCGGTGGATGCCACCGCCCACTCCAGCACCACCGGGACCGGCGTCCGGAGCGAGGTGTCATTCGCTGCAGGCTTCTTGAGCAGGTTGGCGGCGAGGCCGTCGAACCATCCTAGCTCGGCGATGCGGATCGCTTCGGGCACCTCACCTCTGTACTCGTTATCCATGATCGTCACTTTCACGCTGTAGGACGGGCGGCCGATGGAGATGGGCGTCTGGCAGCAACTGATGCCCGCGCACTTGTTGCCGGGGCTTCTGAACACGCCACCCGTGTACTTGTCGTTGATGGAGCAGAAGGAAGAGCAGCCGGTGATGACGTTGCCGCCGCTGCCGACAAGGGTTACCTGAATGTTGCACGCCGTGACGAGGAGCTGGTTGAGTTCCCCGGAGACGACGTACGGGTTGGTTGAGGTCGCGGCGACGCCGCCCCACGTGCCGTTGCCGGTGGTTCCGCTGACGACGTCGTACGTGATGTTCACGGCGCCGGCGATGTCGACGGCGCGCAGCGTGGAGTTGGCCAGCGAGATGCTGACGACTTGCAGGGTGCTGTTGCCGATCATCAGCCGCGGGGGATTGCTCGTGGTGTTGCAGGTGAGGCCGAATCCCTCGAGGGAGCAGCCGGTGCGGATGCCAAACGGGAACGGCACGCTCACGTTGCCGCACCTGTCCGGGCAGCCCGCCGGCGGCCCTGAGCCCACCGCCACCTGCGCTTCCGCCGACCAAAGCTGCAGCTGCAGCAGCAGCACCACCAGCACCAGCAGCGCCGCCGTCGCCGGCGATGGAAACAACATCACCATCGCTGGCAGCCTGCCACTTAATTAATCTCTCTTCTTCTTCTTCTACTACTACTACACCTAATTCAGATACCACAGCGCGCGTCAACACAAGCATTCATTACACCATCGTAAATTGGGCAATTATTAGTGCTATATATCCTAACAGTAACCTTGATCGCTTCTCCAAGTTGGCCGCTCCGGCAACGTGATGTTGCTTGCTTGACCAATGACCACGGCGAAGCGAATGAACACGCGCGTGCACCCGAGTTGACCGACCACGTATGGCATATGTGCGGGTTCCCACGGTGCCATTTGCGCGGACCGTTCCAACGCCTATAGGAGGCCCATATGTTACACGAAAAGGAGGCCCAATCAACTGTTGAACATAAAGTGCAATTCCCTTTTAGGGCATGTTTAGATCCTTCAAAATAGCAAAAGTTTTGCTATTTTAGAGCACTTTTTATTATTTTAGATCTAAACAATAGTAGAAAAAGTTGGCAAGTTGTCATTTGGCATTTGCTAGTCCATGGTAGCAAATTTTGCCAAAAAAGTGCTCCGGGACCACACCCTCTCTCTTTCTCTCTCTCTCTAGTGCTAAAATAGCAAAATTTAAATATGCATCTAAACACCAACTAGTACTTTTGCAATGCCAAATCTTGTGCTACCAAAACTTTTACCATTTCAAATGGATCTAAACAGACCCTTACATTGGATTGGAAGAACTACCTATTTTTCATCCAATTCAAACAAAATTTTGGATTAGCAAACGAATGGACTTGATTTCACCCAATAATACAAAACGTGAGGGACTATCTATATAATAGTCAGCGTCAAATCATACATTGATTTTTTTTACAATCAATTACAACGAAAGGTTTGCCAGAACAACAAAAATTAAATTATGTAACGGTAAAAGTTAATATCCTGAATAGGCTGTAACTTCCGTGCACCGCAAAAATGCCCAAAATCATACCTTCAATTATATATAAAAAAAACTAGAAGGGCAAAATTATAGTCAGTAATACTTTAAAAATATTCATATATAGGTTGTAACTTTAACTCAAAGTTACTTTAAAAGCGAAGTGAGAGTAACTCAACTGGTTAAGTTCCTTGTGCTATAACTTGTCCACCCAAGTCTATGTTATAGACTTGACATAGGTGCTCGCCCTTACAATTAATTATTTTTTCGGTGATAGGCACAACGAGACAGGGAATAAAAACTCAGTAGAAGACAACGTGGAGAAGAAACAGCTAAGTTTGACACAAATATGGTGCAAATCAAACGAATAAATATTCAACTAATGTAAACAAGAAAATTTGACGACGAACATATATTACATTGAATAAACCATACAGAAAAATACATGTTCAGATAAACGACAAAAAAATATTGTTGTACATATAGCAATGAAATGCATGGATATCATAAAGGCCATCGGCACCTTGTACATCGGAGCAACGTTTACTATTGATCCAAACTCGCAAAAAAAAAGGAAAAAAATCTACTATCGAGGGTACCTCGATGACAATAAATTCTCTTCCTCATAGCTATATTGTCTACTCGACTCTATGCTTGTGCCCTCACATACCGGATAGCTCCATGAGACATGTTTCTCCTTGGATTCCTCCGCGGCCACACTAGGTACCACTTCTTGTTGTAGTGATGACGATCGAATAGTTTCAAGTGTCATCTCCACCTGCCTCATAGTAGGTCGTTCATCTGCTTTCAACTTGACACATGCCACGGCTAACATGGCTACTTCTTTAACCTCTTTACCTCCCTCTTCATTCATCTGAGGATCAAGTATGTCACCCAAGTTGCCATGTGTGAGTAGGGCAGTGAAATGTGCAACAAGACTATCATCCTCAGGCGATCTATATGAGTATGGTTTCTTCCTGGTAAGTAGCTCTATTAGAACAACACCGAAACTAAAAACATCACTTTTCTCTGTGAGACGTCCTGTGTAGTAGTACATGGGGTCTAGGTATCCTAGTGTTCCTTGAATTGCGGTTGTGACCCCATTTTGTTCAGCAGGAATACACCTTGAAGCTCCAAAGTCTGACACTTTTGTTGTTAGCGAGCCATCTAATAAGATGTTATGGGACTTGATATCCCTGTGGATTATAGGGAATGACACTGCCGAGTGAAGGTAGGCAAGTGCTCTAGCGGTTTCGGTTGTAATTCTAAGCCTATATTCCCATGGCAATGATGTTGGTCCTTCAACATGAAGATGGTCATAAAGGGTACCATTTGATATAAATTCATAGACCAACAATGGCACTTCTGTCTCGAGGCAACATCCAAAAAGTTTGACCACATTACGATGGTTGATTTGTGAGAGAATGGCTACCTCGTTTATGAACTCATCAATCTCCCTTTGGACTGCTACCTTTGATTTCTTGATCGCAACAACGTGAAGATCCGATAAAATCCCTTTGTACACAGTGCCATGCCCTCCTCCTCCAAGCTTACGCGATTCATCAAAATTGTTTGTGGCCTTCTCCAGTTCTGCCAAAGGGATGATCATCCTTTCAGCAATATCAGCCTTTTGAGATACCAACTGTTCCAACAAATGGCCACGGTTCTGTTTGAAGAACTTCTGTCTCAGCATTCTTGCTCTCCGATTCTTAATCCTATGTGTTAAAAAGGTTGCACCGAGAGCCATGACCAAAATCCCAGCGCCACTACCAACTCCAATGCCAATAATTGATCCCGTGGTTAATGCTAGTGTAAGAGGGAAAGAAAAAGCTTCTCCATCAGAAAGTTAATTTGCATTGTTTGTAATTGAGAACAGTTAATTAGGGACAATTCTTGCAGAACAGATCATGATTAATGATAAAAGCAACGTCAAGGAAAGAATTGTCTATGAAAAACATATTCTGCTTTTTATGTATGAAGTAGTAAGATGATTGTATCTATAGCTGGGACTCTCAAGTTTCTTCAATCTCTAAATAAATTCGAAAATTATAAGCAGATTAATTTAGTTACCTTGATTAGTTTTAACGCAGCCAGTTTGAATGGTCGCGTTGCCACTAGTACCCGGCGGGCAGCTGCACTGGTACGATCCCAGCGTGTTGATGCACACGCCGAAGCACGGGTACTCCTTTGCCCGCTCGCACTCGTTGATGTCTTCGCGGATCGCCCAAATCGAATGAAATTAGCTTGAATTCACGAGAAAGCAATAGATTTTTGAAACAAAATTTTGGGAGGTGTGTTAATTAATTTGTTCACCTTTGCACCCGCCATCGTGGTAGGGGTTGCCCTCGTAGCCCTTGGAGCAGTTGCACCGGTACCCGTCGCCGTCACCGGTGTCGACGCACACGCTGTCGGCGCTCCGGCACGCGTAGTTGGCCGCGGCGAGGTTGCGCCTGGCGGCGCTGCAGTTGCCGGCGTTCCGGACGGCCCAGTCGAGCACGACGTGCACGGCGAAGTCGTCGGTGCGGTTGAAGTCGACGGCGCCGTCGCGGTACGCGGCGTCGATCCACCTGTCCTCCGCCAGGTACATGTACCGGCAAACCGTGCTGCTCTGCAAGATGGAAGAAGCCGCCGTGCTGTTCAGCAGAACGGAGTCCCCAGCTTGGCCTTGCTTGAAGCCGATGATGTCGGGCTTGTAGACGTCGACGCTGTAGGGTATGCTGCTCTGGCAGCACCCCTCGCCGGTGAAGCCCACCGTGGAGCCGGCGGCGACCGACTCCGGCGTCCGGCAGATGGACGTGCAGCTGCTGATGTAGGAGCCCCTGCCGTCGACCAGGTAGGCGAGGTTGGGGCAGCCGAGCGCGACGAGGCGGTTCCTCGACCTGGAGAAACGGTAGGGCGTGCCGGAGAGGGACATCTCGGTGGCGTTCTGATCGTTCTCGCTCACCATGTCCCCCGTGCTGCTGTTGTAGCACCGCCGTTTCGCGGTGAGGAAGGTGCGGGCCTCGCCGTCGGCGAGGGACAGGCTCAGCAGCTGTTGCCGGTGCCGGCCGCCGGTAGAGTTGGACACGATGAGGAGTGGGGGTGAGGAGGTGTGGTTGCACTCGAGCTGGAAGCCCTCGTCGCGGGCGCAGCCGGCGCCGATGCCGAAGGGGTAGGGGATGCTGATGTTCCCGCACGTTGAGGGGCATCCCGGCGGCTGCTGAGCCGACGACAATGGTGTCGCCGGCGCAAGGCCGACGAGCAATATAGCTAAGGCGACCGCCATTTCTGACATCTTAGCTCTCACCTCGTACGTTGTTCGGCTTGCTTGCTTGGATGCCGGCTGGTTGAATTTCCATATAAATAGAAAGTGAGTACGATGATGCATCTTGCCACCATGCACACGCGGTTATTTGACTTAATTAGCTCCAGTTGAGTATGAAAAAGGATGCGGTTGGTTGTCAGAGAAACATGAAGACGAGCATGTGTTCCACTTAGCACATGCTCAGTTTGGGCCAGTCAATTGCCTTGCCTATTGACATTTGCTCTTCAGAATTGGATTTTGTCCCCGTGGAGTACTCTCTCCGGGCTGATAATATTAGTCGTTTTGAACAATGGTAAAGTCAAACTTTAAAATCTTTGACTATAAATAATTTTTAAAATATTTGTCTTAAAACTACGAGAACCATATGTGTAGATTAGTCTTAAAAAGTACTTCAATAAAATCATATATTTGTTGATATTTCTATATATATTATAATAGAAAATAGTTGTCGAAGTTAATTTCTAGAGACCGTGCCCTTGTCCAAAACGACAAGTATTATCAACCCGAATGGAGTATTAATTATCAGTTCAATTTGAATCAGTCTAATTAATTATGATTAATTCTAGGTTAGTTTATAGGGTTTTAGAGAAGACTAGGGATGATGCATCACAAAGTATGTAAAGAAACCTAAAGTCTAAACGATCAAGTAATTAATCAATTTTCGGGATGGTAGATACCTTAGCTAATCTAATATAGTAAGGCGATTTAGCCGATATTGACATAAACTCTAAAGCGAGAATCAGCCGATATGACTAAATCAAGATACTAAGACTAGATTAACTAGGATATGATAACAATGGCTACGATAAAATGACTAAAACATCTAAAACGATATAATAGCCCTGATAGCGCAAGCCATCGAGACAAGTTACCTCTTGTAGAGAGATCACAGCTAATACCTTGACTTGAAGCAAGAACTCATCAAAAAGTAAAAAACAAAAGGGTAGTGATCCGCCGAAAGTTGTATTGATTGGATTGTCGTCCTTTATAAAAATGATTTGGGGTTTATATTTATACACCGAGCACAAAACTTAGTCCATTATGAACACGACTCAAACTTTCCTAAATATAAAAACAAGCAAGTCCACATGGCGGACTCATACCAAATCTCTAATTCAAACCGACACTAAATATCCTAATTAATAGATACAATTCCATTAAATGAGCTCAATCTCTAACCGGTAACATCAGTTATTCCAATCTAGGCCCATGCTGAACCCAAGTTAAGCTGTATCGGCTGCTTGCCATATTAGCTCGGTCATAATCCGACTATATTTCCAGCCAATACGCTGGGCAGGCGATGCACAATCTGTTTTGGCAAGATTCAATCTCCTTCAATTCCGCTTCGATATCCAACTCCAAATCCGAGTCTATCTTACCAAATTTCATTGTTTACAGGACTAGTACCCAATGATGTAATAAAGTAGTTTACTTTGATTTCACATTTATCCTGTGTGTACCAGCTAGTGTATCCTAAGACTACTACTAAATTGGCTTGTGTTTACAGCTAACGAATGTTGGGGCGTTACATCGGGCAAGCATGTCCACGGGTAAAAAATCACACCCACACCCGTACCCATCGGTTCGGGTATCTGCGGATACCCATACCCATGGGCAAACTTGCCATCCTAAGAGTAAAGTTAGTCAGTACAAGACAACATAGAGAAGAAACAACTAAGATGGAGCAAAGCGTCGTGCAAATCAAACAAATAAATATTCAACAAATTTAAATGAGAAAATTTGTCGATAAACATATATTACATTGAACAAACCATACAAAAAAGCACACACGTTCAGATAAATGACAACGAAAAAAATATTGTTGTACATATAGCAATGAAATGCATGGATATCATAAAGGGCCATCTAGACATTGTACATGAGAGCACCGTTTACTATTGATCCAAACTTGCACAATAAAAAAAGGGATAAAAATCCACTATCGAGGGTACCTCGATGACAACAAATATTCTTCATCATTACTATATTGCCTACTCGACTCTATGCTTGTGCCCTCGCTTACCGGATAGCTCCATGAGACATGTTTCTCCTTGGATTCTTCCGCGGCCACACTAGGTACCAGTTCTTGCCGCAGCAACGATGATCGAACAGTTTCAAGCGTCATCTCCACCTGCCTCATAGTCGGTCGTTCATCTGCTTTCAACTTTACACATGCCACGGCTAACACGGCTACTTCATTCACCTCTTTGCCTCCCTCTTCCTTCACCTGAGGATCAAGTATGTCACTCAAGTTGTCATGTGTGAGTAGGGCAGTGAAATGTGCAACAAGACTATCATCCTGAGGCGATCTGTATGAGTATGGTTTCTTCCTGGTAAGTAGCTCTATTAGAACAACACCGAAGCTAAAAACATCACTTTTCTCTGTGAGACGTCCTGTGTAGTAGTACATGGGGTCTAGGTATCCTAGTGTTCCTTGAATAGCGGTTGTGACCCCATTTTGTTCAGCAGGAATGCACCTTGAAGCTCCAAAATCTGACACTTTTGTTGTTAGTGAGACATCTAATAGGATGTTATGGGACTTGATATCCCTGTGGATTATAGGGAACGATACTGCCGAGTGAAGGTAGGCAAGTGCTCTAGCGGTTTCGGTTGCAATTCTGAGCCTATATTCCCATGGCAATGATGGTTGTCCTTCCACATGAAGATGGTCGTAAAGGGTACCATTTGATATGAATTCATAGACCAACAATGGTACTTCTGTCTCGAGGCAACATCCAAAAAGTTTGACCACATTACGATGGTTGATTTGTGAGAGAATGGCTACCTCGTTTATGAATTCATCAATCTCCCTTTGGACTGCAACTTTTGATTTTTTGATTGCAACAACATGAAGATCCGATAAAATCCCTTTATACACGGTGCCATGTCCCCCTCCTCCAAGCTCCCGTGATTCATCAAAATTGTTTGTTGCCTTCTCCAGTTCTGCCAAGGGGATGATCATTCTTTCAGCAATATCAGCGTTTTGAGATACCAATTGTTCCAACAAATGCCCACGGTTCTGTTTGAAGAATTTCTGTCTCAGTATTCTTGCTTTCCGATTCTTAATGTTACGTGTTAAAAAGGCTGCACCGAGTGCCATGACCAATAGCCCAGCGCCACTGCCAACTCCGATACCAATAATTGATCCCGTGGTTAATCCTAGGAGCACAATATAAAAGAAATTAAGAAAAAAGGTTTTCTCCTTGAGAGAGCTTGCTTTGTTTTGTAATTGAGAGAGGTTAGGGCCAATTCTTGGGGAACAGTTGTTTAATGGGAAAAGCAAACGTGAAGGAAAGATTGATTAATGAGCACAATATAGTCTGCTTTTGTTTATGAAGTATAGTAGGTTGAAGAATCAAGTTGAAAATTTAACTCTACTTATAATATATTGACATGTAAAGCTGTTACATATTCGAAAAAGATCAAGTATATAGGTTGCAGTTAAAAGAAAGATGGTTGTATTGCACAGACAGAGTTCCCTTGCATGTATAACTGGGACACTCAACTTCTCAAGTAGTAGATTATTTTAGCATTATGCAGTCTGAGAATAAATCAGAAAATGATACTGTAGCAGATTAATTTAGTTACCTTGATTAGTTTTGACGCAGCCGCTTTTAATGGTCGGATTGCCACGAGTACCAGGCGGGCAGCTGCACGAGAACCCTCCCGGCATGTTGATGCAGTTGCCGAAGCACGGGTACTCGTTTGTCCTCTGGCACTCGTCGATGTCTTTGCGCGCGAATCCCCCATGCATGCAACAAATCGATATGATAGATATTAGCTTGAGCTAATAAGAAATTAAATAACTGATTTTGGGAGGTGACCTATACCTTGGCATCCGGCATGGAGGTAGGGGTTGCCCTCGTAGCCCCCGGAACATCTGCACCGGTACCCGGCGCCATCGGTGGTGTCGGAGCATTTGCTGTTGGCGCTCCGGCACGCGTAGTTGGTGGCGTTGAGCTTGGCGGCGCTGCAGTTGTGGACGTCCCGGATGGCCCAGTCCAGCGCGACGGGCACGACGTAGCTGTTGGTGGTGGCGTTGAAGCGGTACGTGGACACGGGGAAGCGGTAGACAGTGCTTTTGTTGAGGGTCGCAAACGTCATGTTGTTCGGCTGGCTGCTGGCGCTGGCGGTGGGATGGCTCGCGTTGCAGTTGTAGTAGTAGGCCTCATGTTGGATGTCGAGGGCGGCGAGCGCCTCGCCGTCGGGGGACAGGCTGAGCAGCTGCTGATTATAGGCAGGCATGATGAGGCGTGGATGGGAATTGTTGACGACGACGTTGCACTCGAGCTGGAAGCTTTTATCGCGGAAGCAATGGGCGCCGCCGACGCCGAAGGGATAGGTGATGTTGATGTCCCCGCACTTGTCGAGGCAGCCCGGCGCCGGCGGCTGCTGAGCCGACGCAAGGCAGGAGAGGAGAAACACGGCGGCGCCTAAGGCAACCGCCTGCATGTGCAGGGCACTGGGGCTGGTAGCCATTTCTGACATCCTAGCTAGCTAGCTAGCTCCCGGCTTGCTGTTTTATTTGCTTACTTATTAATTAACTGGCCCGGCTGAGTGATCTCCGTATAAATAGATCGATCGTGCATAATACATACACACGCTTCGTTAATTAGTGGGAGGGTTGTTAAGGAAGATGCATCGTATACCACGGACGCGGTTTTTCGACGACAATGCTTCCGATCGAAGCACGTGTTCCACTCAGCACATCCTCAGTTTGGACCAGTCAAGTATTACCTTGCCTATTGATCTTTGTTCTTCTTTCTTTTAAGCCCCATAGGGTAGCAGAGGGAAAAATTGTAAAAGATTGATATTTTTTCTGCAGGAATCAGGATGTGGAATTATTCTTGCGATGGTTTTCAGTAGACTTTGTATCAGTCTACGTCTTCTCCGTTAACTAGAACCTCACAATCGTCAATATACAAAGTTTTTATTGAAATCAGGTATTTTACTGAAAGAACTGGCCAAAACAGGATACAAAGTCTGAAACATACACGGGGAAACTATTTTGATCCCTCTATAGGATATCCCCTCATTATTTGAATGCCACTCATATGATTGTGAAAAAAATTTGGGAAGATGTATTAACATGTGATATAACACTCCGCAAACATGCAATTTCAAATTCAACTTCTACATCTCGTAACAAAAAAAAATAAACCATAGCTAGTTAATGTATATTCACAGTCAAAACTATTTTTTCCGTTGTGAGATGTAAAAGTTGAATTTGAACTTGCATGTTTGTGGAGTGATATATCACATGTTAATATGTCTTCTTTTTTAAAAAAAAAGATTATAACCATTTGAGTGACATGTAAATAACGAAAAGATATATCCTTGATGGATCAAAATCTACTTCCGGAACCCTGCTGCTAAAACAAAAGACAAGGAAACGAGAACACATAGATTGGACTAACAGCTAGGGACACTATAGCTCACATTGCAGAACCTTTCAAACCAAAGACTAACAGCACCAAAGACTTTGTACCAACAACAGAACAACGACCCTTCCAGAACACAATCATATTGTATCAGGCAACACATCGATCGGCTTGAGTTGGCGCAGCCTGCTCAGGATGTCGTCCTCGATCCATCCATTTATCTGCCATGCCGTCGGTATACGAAGTTTCATGATAAATGATTCCCGGCTATTGCTGAGCCGACGACGATGGTGTCGCCGGCGCAAGGCCGACGAGCAACACGGCTAAGGCAACCGCCATTTCTGACATCCTAGCTACCTAGCCCTCGCCTCGTACGTTGTTCGGCTTGCTTACATGGCTAGCTGATCAATTTCTGTAGATCGTGTAACTAGTTGGAGAATTGTTACGGAAGATGCACGACAATCCTCTTCTCGGTAGCCCGATTTGGAAAAAAAAATGGGGCTCCTTGCTACCGTTGCATGTATGCAAGATGAGTACTAGCTAATTTCTTTTTCTTTTTTCTCATTTTGCGGACGCTTTTCTTTTTTCTCGTCACTTTAAATATTTTTTTCTCATAAACTATTTCTCCGATTTACGATTCGATAGTACCACTAGAAACACCAAACCCTACTCGCTCAACGGATTAAACAGTGAGATGAATGACATGCACCAATTTGCTGGCTAGGCTCGACGACGTACATGTGGGACGGCGGATGATGAACCAAAAAGCCACCGGTCGGTTGGTTGGTAAAGTGTAGCACCCGTATTTTATTTGCTTTTATTTAAAAATTTGTTATTTAAAAATGTGGAGTTAATTTGGTTCTTAATTGTTTTTGTGCCATTTAGATCTCAAATCCTCTCTTAGAATTGCCTTTAAAATTCCATGAAACCCTAGGTCAAAATTCAAATTCAAATCCTTTGAAATCTCCTCAAAATTCAATTCTATAAATCCTAGAGAAATTGTGAAAGCTCACTGTTCGAATTGGGCCTCCTTCTCTCTTTTCTCTCCCAGGCCCAACTCCCCTCCACCCCTTCCTCTCCTCTCCTCCCCGAACAGGCCGGCCCAACTCGGCCCAGTACTGTTCTTCTCCTACCTTGAGCCAGCCACGTGCACGCACACAAGGTGTTCGATGGAATGTTTCACCCGGACGCCGAGTCGTGCCGAGCTGTGTATTGCACCGAGCCACTCTCCCGTGCGCTGCGCGTCGTGCCAACACCCGCGCCGCACCTTCCCCCGCACCAAACCGACGCCCGCGCCGCGCCAAAGCCGCGTCGCGCCAAGCCCGACCTCGCTATGGTTTCTCTCCGGGAGACACGGAGCCACGCCACCCCTCGTCATCCCCTGTCCCGTCGCCGTCCATCCGATGTCGCGGGCATCACCTCGCCGTCCCGTCGCCCGTCGTGTCGACGCCAACGGATAACGGCCGCCACCTCACCCTCCATCACCCCTAGCCATAGGCCGAGTCACCCTCGGTCTACCCTTATCCGTTCCCTTTGCTTCGTGAGGAAGGAGCTTAGCCTCCGAGCTGCGTCTCTCTCTCTCTCTCTCGTCGAGTTGCCACCGCCGCATGCGTCATCCTTAGTCCCATCGTCGTCCATCCGTTGTCGCAGGCGTCACCTCGCGTCGCCTCGCCGTCCTATCCCGGACATCCGCGGACGCGCGTCCCTCCGCCGTCGCCTCGTCGTCTTGTCGCCGTCTCCTCCCGGGAAGCCGCCGAGCCGCGTCCCTCCCTCTCTCTCGCGTCGAGTCGCCACCGTCGCTCGCATCACCCCTCTCTAGCCCTACCGCCCCAAATCCCGGCCATAGCCGTCGTCGGCCGTGCGTCACCCACGTCTCGCCGCCGTTCCCGCTCTCCGCGCGTCACTTCGTGTCGCGTCGCCGTCGTTTCGCCGTCGCATTGCCACCGGTGCATGACGCAATGTCGTCGCATCGCCGTCCCGTCCTCCCAGGAATCCCGCCCTAGTTGCTAGCCGTCTACGCCCGGAGCTCCGCGCCTAGACTGCCAGATCGACACCGCGTCGCCCGCCTATAAAAGGGAAGCAGCCCGAGCTCCTTCTTCCCACACCATCTCTTGCCATCTCTCTCTCCTCTTTTCTCTCTCGTTTTGCTCTCTGTACCGCCGCTCAAGCCGCTGCGCCGCGCCTCCTAGCGCCTCCGTCGCCGCCGGAGCACCGCCCGAGGTCACCGCCGCCTCCCCTGGCCACCGGCCGCGGAGCCACGCCCCGCCGCCGCGGTACCTTGCCGCCCCAAGCCGAGCAAAGCGAGAGCAGGAAGAAGAAGCCGAGCCGAGCCGAGCCTTCCAGCGCCGCCGTCGCCGGCGGAGCCTCGCCGGAGTCTGCCGCCACCGCCCTTGGCCGCCAGACGCCTCGCCGCGTCCCGCCGCCACGGCGCGTCGTCGAGCTGCACCCGGGCCGAGTCGAGCAGGCGAGAGGAGGAAGAAGACCTCCTCCAAGCCACTGACAGCCGGGCCCCACTAGTCTCTTTCCTCCATCTCCCACTGACAAGCCGGGCCCCATGCCTTTCCTCCTCCAGTCAACCGCTGACAGGTGGGCCCCCACTCTTGCCGTCGACTCTGAAGGAATATTCCAACGGAATATTCCATCGCTGTTTACAAAATATAAATTCCAGAAAATCCTTTATCCTTTGAAAATTCACAGTAAATCAACCGTAACTCCGATTGACTCCGTTCAAGTTCCTATTTTTTTTCTAAAATTGATATCTACACAGTGGCACTATTGTTTATCTGGTTTGAGCTTGTTTTATTGCCTTTTATTTATTAGCTTTGTTTTCGCATTAAGAACCGAGTTCGAGGAAGCTCCGGACGCCGCTTTCGAAGGAGAAGACCCGCACCCTGTGCAAGGCAAACCCCTTTGATCACATTGCCCCTATATTTTCAATGATATGTTGTTTGCAAAGATGCATTGTTTAGTTCACACAATTAACATGTTTAGGCCTCGGATTGTTTATACAACCGACGGACCAACCTGGTAGTCGCACTTATATTTCATAGGTTGATGTTTCCATACCTTTGATAGCTCCACAAATATTTGCACCGGTATCGTTACACGATTACCGAGGTAGTTTCGCTTAACCATGCTTACGTTGTTGCCGTGTGGGAAACTTGGGTTATTCCAAATTACTTGCTTAAAAATCCGGTACGTTGTACCGAGGTGTTGTGAAATAAAAAGTGTTGTGAAAGTGGTGATGATGCGGAGTCATTCCTTTGTGGTTTGGCTACGTATTTGTCGTTAAGGACCGATTCCTTTGGGAAATCTATCCAAACATGTTACAGTGCGACCACACGGGTGTTATGGGATGCCTCTGGCTAAGTAAATTGTTATCACATGGGAGTTGGTGTGCCAATGGTTGTGGAATGTCGAGGATGAGGAGACGAAGTGTTACACATTTATTGCCCATCATGGGTGTCTTTTTGCCTCTATTGTGGCATGGTACCAGTAGGAGTAGGAAGCATCCTCGGTATTTCCTGAGTGGATGACGGCTGTCTTTGCCTGATACTCAGCTATGGATCTTAGCCCAACTAGGTGGCATGCGATTTTCATGGGTTAGCTTTGGAAAAGGCCTTATCACGAACTTCCGGTACCGGCCAGTACCGGTGTAAGTTTCGTGTCGTGTGGGTAAAGCGTGCAACCTCTACAGAGATTAATGAACTGTTCGAACAGCCGTGCCCACGGTCAAGGGCGAGTGTAAGGTGTTTCTCATAGCGTAGATTTGTTTGACAAAGGTTTTGTGGAAAAGTGGTTACTGAAAAGGGATGTTACCAGAGTCTGCCTATGTGGCAGACGACTAACCTTTGTGGTTAGGAACGGGTCTGTGTGACCTGGGGTGTCGTCCGACACCGAGGTATTGTTATGGCCATGATGGCGTTGATGTGCTGGGATAACCAGGAGATTTGTGTGGATTAGTGTTGTAGTGAAAGTGAAAAGGAACTAATACAGGAGATAAAATATTTGTTGTTCGTTAATCGTGACAAGTTGTTGCAAAGCAACTTGTGGAATGGGTTGAGGCATGAGCCTCCTCCCGACAACTAAAACTTGACTCACTCACTAGGAGTTTTGTGAAATAAATCATTTTGCCAAAATGGCAGCCTTCGCAAATAAA